TCCCATGCTGCCCCCCCCTTCCCCCCCCTGCCTCCCCCCACCCCGCACCCCATTGTGCTTCCTCCTGCAATGGCTCTGGCCTCCACTCTAGAGCTCAGCCATCTTCTGCCCACCCTGTGGTCTTGACGCTTCACCAGAGCCTCCAGCCTGCTGCTGTCCGGTTGAAGTTCTTGGGCTGGGGGCTCAGCACTACATTGGGTTGCAGTGCGGGAGGGGCATGTGTGACTTCCTGCAGCTTTCGGGCATTGAAGCGAGGCCGGTACAAGAAGGGTAGACGAGTGAGGCCAGCCTGGGGATGCTCCCTGTCTTTGGGCTCTGCTGGGTGGCTGTGAGACTTGGTCACTGACATTCGGTACAGCACAGCATCCCACATCCTGGAGGCCCGGGAGGCAGGGGGCCCAGAGCTGGCTGCAGTGGGTGTCTCCAGCTGTGTGGACTCCGGGCTGGTCTCCGGACCTGGGAAATGGGACTCCTCTGCTCCTTCCATCAGCTGCTTTTTGAGGCGTGTCCAGCCACTGAGCCGGGGCTTGGGTGCAACTTTGGGAGCAGGGCTTGGGTAGGGGTCTGATGCCAGGACCAGAGACGATGGGTCCTGCTTGACCTCCAGTGCAGGGCTGGCTATAGGCAACTGCTCCAAGTGCTCAGTCTCAGGTGCTGCAGGAACTGGGCTGTATGGTAAGGGTCCAGATGAGCGGTAGGTGGGGGCAATGGGCACTACCACCCTGGTCCCAGCCTCTCTAGACACTGAGGCCTGGAAGCTGGATGGTGGCCTCACTACAGGGGGACCCTCGGGCCTAGGACTGACAACCTGGGCTCCAACAGGCAATGGGCGGATGTGGGCCACTGGGATCAGGGGCTGGGTACTGGGGACACCTGGGGCTGGGTCTCCATCCTGGCTGCTAGGGCCTCCATTCAGGGCTGTCCTGGGGGGATCAGGGGTTCCTGCACTTGGGGATGGTGCCAGCTGGATGTGCACTTGAGTGACATGGGTGCTTCCTGTTGTGGGGGCCAAGACAGAGGCAAAGCCACTGGGGAGCTGGGCAGGCTCTGGAGCTGAGGCTTCGAGCCTTGAAGGGGCCTTGAAGTGTGCAGCCAGAGCCTGGTGCTGAGTGAGGCTGAAGGAGAGCGAGGATCTCTGCTGGGGCGAGGCCACATGGTGGATGACTGGGGTGTGGGGGGAGCGGGGCAGGGGTGCCACGGTGTGTGGGGCCTCAGCAGGATGCGAGGTCTCAGCAGGACGAGGGGCCATGGTCTCCAGATCATGGCTGGCTTCGCTGACAGGGGACAGGGAGGTGCGGAAGACCCCGGGTGGGGCAGGGGCAGCCCCTGCCATCTTCTTCCGAGCTGCCTTCTTCAGAAGCTTCTGCAAACGCAGGTTGTCTTTTCCCGGTTTGGGCAGCAGGGGTGGAGGAGGGCCAGGGGTTCCCTGGCGGCCCCCGGCCCCCAGAGGCACCGAGGCAGTGGAGATGAGCATCACTGCACCCTGGAGTGGAAGTCACACAGTCAGGCCAGCCTCCTCCCTCCTGGTGGTGGGGACATATAGTCTGCCATTCTTCAGGAGGCCAGAGGTGTGGCATCTCAACCACCAGACACCCTCTGCCTGAGATCTAGCATCTACCAGTGCTTTCTAAACTTGGGTATCAGTGGCTGTGGACAGGGCCACCATGTCCTGGTATGGAAATGAGCCCTGGGAGCCACCGCCATGCTGCAGGTGATAAGGGCTAGAACCGGCCTCTGCCCTCAATGCCCAGCACAGTGCCAACCTCTCATGCACACAAGCAGGGGCAGGCCATGGTACCATGAAGGAAGGGGGATGGGAGACCCACAGGCTAGCTCCAAGTGGGAGGCTTGAGCCTGGCCAGTTACTGACTCTGGCCAAGGGCAGGAAGAGCAGGCTGCCCGCAGACACGTGAGGGGCGCCATGCTGTCGCCGGCCCGACCACAAGTGCGTCGGTCTGCTGCAAGCCAGTGGTGAGGAGTGGCGGCCAAAAGGCTTGGGAAAGCTGAGGCTGCATCATCAGAGGTAGATTGGCCGGAAGGTGGGAGCAATTTTCGCTGAGCTATGCTAAATGGGATATTCCCGCAGACCTCCTGCCCAGGGTGGTCCTGGCCAAGCCACCCGCCTTGGCTTCTGGGCGCCACGTGTTTGCAAGGACGTTGACAAATGGCATCTGGGACGAGCCAGAGGTTGTCTGGTTTGGGGAGGAGGGAGGCCTGGGGCTGCCGCCATGGGGGCTGGCTCTGACAAGGCAAGAGCCATCTGCTGGGGAGGGGCCAGGAAGGGTCTGTTCCCTCACTCCCAACTGCTAGCTGCAGGACTGGAGAACTGAGGGAACCCAGGTCTAGTTCCGGGGGTTTGCTAGGGTGGGTGGGTAGCATTCCCTCTACCTTGAGATGGTCCCGGCCAGGGCTCAGACTTGCAGCACCAGAGTTTACCCGGGGAGCTGGTCTCCCACTTGAAGATTGAGACAGTACACTTCTGGTTGTGGGAAGAGGGTGTGCTCAAGGCCAGGTCACCACTAGTGGACCACCGGTGTGGAGGGAGCAGAGAACTGAGTCTTTCAGGAGGCATGGCTACAGCTCTTGCTCAAGCCCCAGGCTAATGTTCCTCATGCCCCATACCTGTATTTGACAGGTGCAGGCTAGCGGCACCCTCCACTCCTCCAGGGGAGACACCAGCCAGACACCATGCCACCTTCAGCCTTGGCTAAGAAGTTGCTTCTGTTGCCAGCATGGCCTACCCTTGCCACCCTTCCTCAGTACCCCTGCTATTTCCACCTCCTCCTTTTGCTCCTGGACCCTCCAGCCTCTATACTGTACCACTCTGATCGTCCAGCTCTGCCTCTCACAGTTGGGGAAGGAAGAAGACTCCTGACCTTGGTTAAAAGGACCATTTCTTAGAGCAGCCAGAGCCCCTAAGGAAGGCTAGAGATGGAGACCCAGCCTGTGTAGAGGGCTGGTCACCCCACCAGGCCTGAGGGACACCTGAAGCGGTGCTGGATGCTCACGATTCTGCATCTTTCTTGCTCCCTACCTACAGACCTCTCCCCATTCTGTGCAATAAAAATTTTCAAGAGTTGTTTGTGTGTTGGCCTCCTGTGCTCTCTAACAGAGGAGGGATGAAGGAGTGGGACTGGCCAGGACAGAAGAGCCATATCAGTGGGATAGCCCACACACTGCATAGTGCGTGCTGACCTTGAATTCAGGGCCTGTGTCTTGGCCTTAAGGAGTATTAGACTCCAGGACCTGAGATGTAAGATGGCCTAAATTGGGGTACCCATAATGGCTACAATTCCACGGTCTTCTTCCAGGATATCTATAACACCTCTACCTTGCCCAGCCCATGTAAATCTCGCAACACTGGAACAGTGGACTTGAGTGTGCACTGTCTGTGTGCTCACTGAGGGGGAAAATCCACCACAGGGTAGCCCTCATGATCCCCCAGCTCTGCTACTCGCAGTTGGAGAAGGAGGAAGAATCCTGACCTTGGCTAAAGGAACCACTTCCTAGAGTAGAAAAGAGCCCCTTAGGAAGGAGAGACCGAGTTCCGACCTGTATAGGGAGCTGGTCACCCCACCAGACCGGAAGGATGCCTGAACACATGCTGGACACAGGTGAATGGACAGAATTCCGAATGGGTGGGTGGGTGGATGGAGAGAGATGAATGAGTGAGTTGATGGATGGGTGGACGAATAGGTGATGATGGAGGAATGGGTGATGGATGGAGGGATACGTGGGTGAATGGCTGGATTACATATGTGTGATCAGATGGACAGTCATATGAATGGATAAGTGGCAGATGGGTAGGTAGAGGATGGAGGAAAAGAAAGGAGGAAGGAGCAATGGAAGTAAGGAAGGAAAGTGGTGAGTATAAGAGTGCATACTTAAGAATGAGTGAAAGAGAGGGTGAACAAAAGTATAAATGGGAGACAGGGTAGGGCCTGTCCTCCCAAGCACCCCTTCCTCTCCCTGGGACTACCCTTGGGCTTGACAAAAAGCCTTCAGTGTCTAGGGGGCCCCCTCAAATGATGGTCTAAGCATGACATTGCCATTCACTTAGCCATTCAGAGCCTCCACTTTCTGAAACCTTCTTAGTCAAGCTTCATCTGCCTCACAAAAATGGGCAGCTCAGGAAGGCAAGAGCTCAACAGAACATACCAGCCAAAGCAAGGAGAGTGTCATGCCACCACGCTGTCCCTCCTGCCCACAGCCCTACAACTGAGGAAGTATCAAGGGCTAACCTCTGCCAAGGCAAGAGCATTTCCCAGGTGACAGTCCCTTTCCTTTCACACTCAGTCTGTAGGGGACAGTGAACAAGGACAGCAGATAAAAGGGTGCTCCAAAGTCAACAGTCAAGGATCTGGACACCAGCATGGGACCAGAGTGAACAGCACTAAGAATTAGAGGGCTGGATCCCCATTGGCACAGGCTAAGGAATGAGGATCAAGGGTCTTGGATTGCAGGTACAGAGTTCTCTAGAGTACTGAGCCACACCCACACCTGCTGTCCCAAACCAGGAGGGCAGGCCTGCCATTGTCAAAGTCAAGGGGCTCAAAGTAGTCACCATCCAGAAGGCACCGGCCAGGGATGCCGGAGCACTGCCCCTCCCTCATTCTGCCTGCCTAAGGGGCCCCTGATGGCCTACTGCTCCTACTCCAGGCACTACTGCAGTTCTGCATGCAGCAGACGCCCCCGGTATCTGCAGAGCCAATCAATGAGTCTACAAAACCACGGGGTGCACACAGGCATGGGGGCAGCAGCCATCGTGTTTGAAGTGGCTTAGTCCCAGTTGCTGTGTCAGCTGCTCCTATCCTGGGCCTGGCAGCGCCAGCCTGCAAAGGGTCAGTCCAGGGCACCAGGCAAGGCTCAGGTTTGGTGAGCTCCTCCACTCCCAGCCATAGTGTGGGGGGCCTGTCACCCACACACACCACTGGAAATGAGGCACTGGGAAAGCTGGGCCCCTCCCACGGGCTCATCCTCACCTTGGGCTTAGCTCAGTATTCACCAACTTTGAAGCCTCCCACCTCCACCCCGGGACTGGTACTAATAGGTCCCCTATCCAACTGGACTGAGCTGCTCCTTGTCCCTGGCCTCACCAGGGTCTCCAGTCCCTTTGTCCTGCTCCTCAGAGGAGGCTTCTGCCCTCTTTCCTCTCCCCTTACATAGCCCCAACCAGGCTAGGTGGGACCCGGTGTGGATTACCTGTCACAGGACCTCAGTAGCCGGCAGCAGCCTGTGCAGCAGTGTCTTCTTTGCTGTCCTGCTGTACCTTGGGCCTGATGCCCTGAGGAGGAGGTAGCTGTTACCCAAAATAAGACCTGCTTTGTCCCTCTGTCCTCACAGGAGAGCACCTGCCAAAGGCCGGGCTTGCTAAGTGGGCAGCCACCCTCCCCTGCTGGCCAAGCAGGGCTACTGCAGAGCATGTGGCATGCCCACCTGCCCATGTGGTCTCTAAAGATCACTAACCTAGGCAAGGTTAGTGGACAGGGGCTTCCCAAGCCAAGCTCCAGTGAGGCCTGCAGATGGAACCAAGTCCTCCCCAAGTCCTGCTCACCACATGGGCATCTGCAATGGGGAAAAGGGTAGGGTGTGCTCAGTTCTTCCTTAGCAGAATTTGGGGAACCAGACTGGGGGTGCGCAGCCTCACCTTGGGAGAGGAAGGGGACTCCTGAAGCACAAGCTCAGTATCTCTGCAGGAGTTCCAGCCAGATAGCTGGTCAGTAGTAGATAGGTGGAACAGGAGGTACAGGAAAACAGGAATGACCCCAGCAGCTGGATGCTTGGGGTGTTGGGCAGGGGAGGGCCCCTGTCTTTCAAGTTAGCAGCCTGGGGCACTAACTCTACTTGCCTTGTGCCTACAGGCACATCCCTTCCTGTCTCTAGCCTTCAAGGTCTCATCTTCAGCTTGTAGGAACTGGGTGAGGTATCAACCACAGCCTTCCAGAAGGCTTGAGATCCAGATCTGGGGAACAGAGCCAGGTGGCGCTGCATCTGGGTCATCGTGGGCCTTGCACCAGGTCATCTTGATGACCCAATTCTAGGACTCTGGAGGACAGGGACTTGTCTGCATCTCCTGGGACTTCCCTTGTTCTGGACACTGCTCAGCTCTGAATTGGGCAGCTCTATGGACCCCACAGCTCGTGGGGTCTAGAAGGAGTGGGCAATGGAGTCGAGGTACTGAGTTGCACCCCCCCCACACACATACCTCAGTTTCACTAATCCAAGAGGCAGGGCTATCCAGGTATCTCCCTGGCAAGCATGGGGCTATCAGAGGCCCACAAGAGGCATCTGTTGGTTGGATAGTGCCCCCTGGAGTCCTGAGGGAAGAAGGGCCAGCTTCACAGTCACACAACTGGCCACTCAGAGCCCAAATGTTGCCCTGGCCCCTAGAAGGAGAGGGGCCTGCAGCTTCTGAAGGCCCAGTCAGGAGCTAAGGGCAGAGGTGTGGCCCCAGGCCTTGGGAGGCACGAGCTACTGGGGGAAATACCATAGCAGGAGCCACTGGATATAGGTCACTATTTCTCCTACCCTTTTATCTGGGCATCCCAAAGGTCTCTCTTGGAGACATAGGCCTGGCCTCCAAAACCCCCAGAGTGATGGGGCTGAGAACTCAGAGTCTTCTACTCCCTGGGGGTCTTGAGCTGCTCCTCTAATGGAGAGATATGGGGTGGGCCTGGGCAAGGTTCTATGTGGAGATCTTGCTCTGGGTGAAGTGTCCACTCCCAAAACACCTCTTGGGCAGAGGGGCAGGGGCTGAAGAATCTGTGACCTCAGCTCTGAGGACCCCTACACCAGCCTGGCCCAAAAACAGCCCTGAGCCCCATCCCAAGGCCACCTGCCACCTTCCTCCTCCCCTCCTGAGTCCTTCAAGAGCAGGCCTACTACTGGGCAGTAAAAATAGCAGCTGACACCTTCCTGAGGGAGGCGGGGACCTTGACTCCTCTAGGCACGTCTCCTCCATCCTTGCCTCCTTCGGTTGCTTCCTTTGGCTGTTCCTATACTTGGTCAGGGGCCTGACTGGGCACACCCTGCCCTCCACCCCCAGCCACCCAACCACTAGCCAATGGGCTGCTGGGAAAGATCGAATGTCGCTATAACATGAGGGTGTGAGGCCCACCAGGCAGTGCCTGCAGCTGGTCCTGTCCACAGGGAGCTCCAGCCCTTCTCAGACTCAGCAGCAGGTGGGTATGGGAGTGAGCCACCCCCAAGGCCTCTTGCATTGGAGCTGGGTTCTCTACACCTAGTGGGGACTGTTGGGCCTGGGGGCCAAGGTCTCCAGCTGAAAGGTTGCCTGACACTTGGATGGGAAACAAGGTGGTTGGAGAAGCCAGGTGGCCCCTGGGGACTGGTGAGAGATTCTGATTCTGATATCATGTTTCCATGTACCCCTGGCCTCAGGATACGGCAGAAGACCTGAGTCTAAACTAGAACACAAGGGTGTGGAGTGGGGGTGGCAGCCTGTGGGAGGCCTGGGGTAAGGGGTCAGAACTCTATGTTGGAGATGTAAGGGTACGAAACCCTACCCCACAAAGGGGATGCTGCCCAGAGCTTCAAGGGCTGCCCAGGGACTGTCTGCTACAACACAGCTGCCTCGGGCTCATTGAGGGCCCTTTTATAGTAAGGGGTAAGTGTCGTAGGTCATCCCAGAAAGGAATCCATAGGGAGAGATGTCTAGACCCCAAGCAAGCCCCGAGGGAGTGGACAGGGTTGGGTTAGGGTAGGACAGGAAGGAGGGAGTTGTTCCTGTCCAGAAGGGCCATGTCCCACCTTGCCAGGGCTAGAAGGAGCATTAGCTTTGAGAGTCCCCCTGAAGTTGCTGGCCAGGGTCCATCATCCATCAGGTCCTGCTTGCTGTCCAGAGGTTCTTGGGCATCCTGGGAGGGGACAGGGCCAGGAGAGGCTGGGCAGAGGGGAGTAAGCTGAGGCAAGGTGTGGTCAGAGTCCCCCAGCAGGTGAGTGACAGGGCTTCCTATACCCTCCCTCCTTGTCCCTTCGAAGGAGGGAAGGATGGCACATGTCCCCAAGGAACCCAGCCTCATGGGCTATTAACATGCATTACCTCGGATGGCAG